ATAATTAAGTGGGCATACCATGAACATGTGGCCATTGCTGCGTAAAAATCATACGTACATAATCTATAGTCGGCTCTCCCGAATAGCTGTTGGGGCTGCCGGTGGCACCGCCGCGTCCATCACCACGTCTGCGGGAGCATGTCTCTTCACCATCTGCTCCCAGAATTGTTCAACAGCCCCCCAGTATCTCTTTTCATCTTCAACTATCAATGCACAGTGTGGGCTCTTGTGAAACACCACGCTTGCCACATTGTATCCCCGAAATCTAGCATCGTCAAGATGGGCCTGAACCTCCTCCCAACGTATCGTCTCATCTGCTTTCGAGAATAGGTATAATCGTGGAACACGGGCGGAAACAACCAAACTGTCATTTAACTGCTTCTGCATCGCACTAATCGAACTTGTAATGCCAACGGCCTGGAGCCCGGTTATAAGCCCTATAGCCGGGAAGAGCAAGGCTCTGTTCACTAGCTGGATAGGGAGAGGAGCGGGAGGGAGGGAGTAAACGCTTGCTTGGTAGTTGCGCATAAAGGTCGTATCGCCGGGGCAGCTATCAAATACGATGCCTTGCAACGGGAGTCTATGGATGCCGCTCGGATGTTTCCGGTCTTGCATGGAGAGGATCAATTGGATGGCAATGTTACTTCCACCATGGGAGAATATATGCAAAAGCACTCCATTAGGGTTTTTCTCTGGGTAACCGGCATTAGGCCCCAGTATCCGGCGAATGGCTTCCCTTGCTGGCTGCAGACGATTCCGAATGACGGCGAAGGAGCGAACAGTAATATCGATCATGCCAGTCGTTATAAGGAGAATGGCGGAGTTGGGGAATAGCTGGCGGTGGTAGCCCACATATTTGCTTATCCGTCGAGGGGTCGCACCTCCGAGCCAGGTACAGAGAACTATGAGTGCTGGGTGTCCATCTGGAGCGGTATAACTACCCGCCGCCGTTGGGGGTTCGTATAGCCAGATATTTTCGCCAGCAGGCTCCAGTGGGTGGAGAGGATTCATTTCGATAGTTATATCGCGCTTGAGTTATGATACTAGCCAAAAAGGATGCTGATGGGACAGGGTTTCAGGAGACGAAATCTCGGAGCACTGGGGAGAGTGGAGGAACCCGGGGCCGTCCCAGATATGTTACCCTTTATTAGTACCAAACGGTTGGCACCTTAGATTAACGCTCAAGCCCAGGAAAATCCATCCGTGGCTCGGTTCAACGAACTTCAGGGCCGGGTGGGGCGGAGATTGAGAGGCCCCATCATCAGCCAAGGGCTGGTTGATATCGATCTCCGGACCACGGCCACATACCCTCAAATGGGACCTCCGCGAGGACTCATCGTGTGCAACCAAAAACGGAGGGGAAACAACCAATTGGCCTGGTGTTCCAGAGAGTGGCGTCAACGTTCGCAAATTGTTCCCCTCCTCCATTTCTCAACGAAAAGACAGCTCAGTAACCCCTCAAGCTCCACATGGATGGTGACAGTTCCAAGGCCAGTCAGAGAGCCCAGATGGATTTCTTTCAACGAACCTTAATCACAATCGCCGTTTCCAATCTGAGCCGGTTGTGGGTATACCAGGTCTTCGAAGAAGATAACTGGCTGGTAAGCAGAGCCTGCTTCTTTGTTGGGGCGGAGAAGACTCGAGGAAGAAACTGCCGCTCCGCCACGGTTCATGCATGTCGGGGCGCCCTGCGGTGGTGTTCCCTCGGTCCGACGATTTGAACGGGACGGTGCAGGGTCTGGTATGTGAGAATTACCTACGGAGTACTCCAGGGAGATTTGAGATCTGGATCCGATCCGGAGATCTGAGGCCTGTGGTTCTGTCTCATTTGTGGCAAATTGTTCACCGTTTGCGCGGTTACTGGATCACCTCTTTCTCGCTCGGATGGTCGGCATGTTTGGGCGATCATCGAGGTCACAAAGGAATCAGAAGGAAGCAACGACGATCCAACGTCGGAAATTTGACATTCGGAGCTTGATGGCTATTTCGGAGAATCCTTGGGTGTCTGTGGCATATTTGTCAGGGCCTCCTGATACGCCTTGCTTGTGGCTATCAAGCCAAAGATAGCTCGGGGAAACCCCACCGCCAGGCTCTTTTCAAGCAAAAGAAAACGTAACCTTTCGAAAGGTCACATCCTGACGATGGCTGATACGTGTTATGTCGAATTCCGAATAAATTTTGCCGGAGTTTGTTGTTGACAGTTGTTTGAAGGAAAGAGTGGCAGCGTTAAATGTTTTGTAGACTTCAATGTTGCCCCGCATTATATATAATGATAGCTCACACTGGGATCCTGGGACCATCTGCATTCATGTTTGATTTACCTCTCCAAGCCCAAGCAAATAAAACAGCGATCTGAAAATATATTTATGAATATAAATAAAAATAAAATTAGTGCTACGCTTTTATTCGACAACGCGAAAGCTTGATACTCCAGCCAAAGATGCGTAGGAGCATCGACTCCGTGAGGCCAGCAAGATGCAGGTCGAGAAATTAATTTAGCGTGGCAATGGCGGAAAACAGATAAATGTCAGTGGAAGCGAGGAATGTTGCATGGAAGACTTTGTGTAAGGTGAGAGCTTCGTAAATCGGCTCGCAGCGAGTGGGCATGGTTATTGCGCCCCTTGCCGAGTGTAGGTCGGTACCACACTCAGCTGCTCGGAATTCCTGCCCATGCATTCCGTGACACCGGAATTCGAGAAGCGACACTCGGAAGTAACACGGCGGAGGGATTGTGCACAGGGGGTTTATGCATGAGGTGATGGGGATAAAATATACAAGGTGTCGGCAATTCCGTTACTCCGCCAGAAAGGAAAAGGCTTCAACAGTCCGAGGGACGGCTCGGATTTAATCCTGATTCTGCAAGAGCTGTTAGAATCAGTGAAGTTCCAATGCGGGATATCCGAGACCAAGAGGAGTCTGAGAGTGACGAGTGACGACAGGTCATATTCAGTTCAAACCCCGGATTTTATCACCACAGAAAGCCAGGGGCTCGAGGTTGCCTACTTGATGCATCAGTAACACAGCGGGAAAACGGTTGCCAAGAACAACCAAGTCGCAAGCCTTTTGCTAGTTATCTGCCTTTGACTTCCTGCGAGTCATGGCCTTATTGAGGCGTGGAGAGCTGCCAGCCTGGGACGAGCGTTTTCAGACTGATCACATATTAGCCATCACATCGAGCTCTCGTGGAGAAATAACGGTCGGCTAGGGTAGTTGAGGCTAGAGCTGCACCGTAGCGTCGCCTGATGATTGCTTGTGGTCTTGGGGAGTCATTTAACTGCCAACGTCACACGGGACTCCGGGGTACTGAGTCAGGTAAGGTGTGATTTGTGCCGAAGACTAGTGTGCGTTGCACAGTGCAAATCCTGGAAATTAGGAACATTGGGTTCATACTTGAGATTCGACCGTCGTCGTGCAATCCGGAGCCTGGGCCAGCCGATAAAGAGCATCCTGGATCGGATTTCGCGCAGTTCCCCTGCAAAGCTAGCTTCGGCTGGGAGGCCTGGATGGAGGGAGTGAACATGGATAAGGCTCCTTCAGGATGAAAAGAGGGCTACCAATGCACAGGATGCCTGGATTGACATAGCTGTCCACTCGGATCAGTCGCCTCATGCAGGTTAGCTGGCTCGGTTAGAGGCCTGAGTTGAACGTTCACTACTTGGCTGTTGGCTCTGATGGAGGGCAGTACTCGGTCCATTTGTTCGCCTTTCCTCTGGGGGGCCATCACAAATGTATGAGGAAGGGTGGGGGGCGGGAAAAGTAAATCGAAGTCGTGTGATTCGATTTTTGGTTTGTACTCCAACCGTTGGCATTTCAAATTACACTGGAATGTGTCGAGCAGTGGCAATGGCTTGATGTGTGACGACGATCCATGCCGGGTAGATCCGACAATGTGGTGATGGAAGTTGACTCGGGTTGCTGAGCTGGACCCCTGTGTTGCAGAAGTCCTTGCCTCAGGCCCTGCGTGATCCAGCCTTGAAGCTTGGATATCTGAAGCCGGCAACTGGGGCAGATGCCCTGTTGGTTGTTGGCGGAATAAAGCGACAATCATCAAGCCCCTCACCGGGTGATTCTCGGCAAAAGACGCACGACATTCTGTGACAAACTGACAATCCAAGATGAAACGGACAGAAAGGCGAGAACTGGTTAGCGACAATGGCCGGGTGTTATCCACGGGGTCCACCGTGGTCCATGGCCGGTCCGCCCCGAGCTCCAGTGGGCCTTTTTCTCCTGGTGGTGTGGTGCTGTCCAAGGCCACGCAGGGTGCTATCCTGGACTAACACCAGATGCATTTCCACCGACAACCTGACCCAATCATCGGTTCCTGTGGCTCCTTCCATGTTAGGAATAGATTCCGTCGATGCCCCATCGATCCGAGTTTGGGCCCAGAGTTGAGGCTTCTGGGGCGATTCAGGAAACCTTGTTCCCCAGCCGCCCACAGCCAGTTCGATGGGCGCTTCGCTTTCTCTTGTTGACCAGTCGATTTGCACGATGTGCTTCACGGTCTCAGCCCAAAGCCCTCTGAGTTTGAGAGAGAGGTAAATCCTGTCACCTCATCGATGTTTGATGAGTCTCGGACTCGGGCGCGGCGGCGGCGGAGGAGGAGGAGGAGAGCCTCTGGTCATCGATGACGGTCGCACACTGCAGCTGATGGAGGAAGAGCTTCTCCGCAAGAATGGCGGCTGGGGTCAAAATTCCATGGCTGTTCCTTGGTCCCAACGGGCAATAATGACAAACTATTCCAAACCTGAAGGTCATTGTTGAATAAAAGTAAAAAAATTGACTCGCTGAGATCTGGAATCCCGTACCCAATACGCTGGATCGAGTGCATTCCCAAAGCCCAGGTTTTGGGAGATGTTTGAGCGTCAGACAGCAGAGCTGGCCAGTGCTTTTGCCCGATTCCCGCTTTCTTGCAGGAAATCTTGGAACCTTCTTCCAATAATAGCAGCTGATGTCCACTCCACCTGCACAATTGTGCAAGTCTGGATTCTGGAGCCTGGAGCGGAGATAAAGACCGGTCCTGGAAGGAGTCTGTCTTCTGCTGCAGTCGCGAGCCTGAAAAGCCTGCGAAGTGCGAAGTTGCCAAATAATGAGACTGGTGGGATTGTTTGCTTTATCAAAGATCGGGTTCGGCACAGAAGCAATGCTTTGTTTACGAGTCGATGGTTGCGCCTTTTCTCAGGAATCGCCCGCGACAAAGGACAGTGAGATGATTTGGAAGAGCACGGCGGCGTCGCGAGGTTCGAAACTCTGTCCGGACAATTTCATCCAAAGACGAGAGTTCGATCCATGCTTTCTTTTTCCTGCGAGATGAGCACGTCTGAAAATTGAAGAGGGAAGACGAGCAGGAGCACGGACAATGCCTGGCAAAGTCAAACAGCGCTGCCCGCCAATCAGGCCCGATCCCAGGCCCAGGGTCGCCAGGCCGGCGCCCAGCCGGATGCTCATCTATGCCCAGATAGGCAGTAGACTTATTGTGGACAGAAGGCTGGTGGTGGCACGAGTAAAACGACGGCCCAGATCGCTAGCCGGCTCCGGTTAGCCTGCGCACAACCCCATCCCCACACCCCCTTTTCTCCCATTCCACTGCAGTGCCTGCACCCACCGCTCCGGTCGGGAGCGCGCTATCGGGTCTTCAATCAGACTCCTCCAATGTTGTCATCCTGGCCTCTTGGGGAGAAGACGTGGGCAGTCAGCAACAAGCTGCCTGGCCGCAGCTGAGCAGTTGAAAGAAATTATCTCGCACGTCTTGGTTGTTGATTATTGTCCTCGCAGTTAGAATTATTGTTATTGTCTGCGATTGTTATTATTATTTGTTATATTTCAGTATTCTTGTTGGAACTCGGTGATCTTCGTCTCCGTCAGCCTGGTCGATCCAAACCCCGGCCAAAGTACTTAATTTTCGTTAGTGCTGCCCAGTCTCGCGCCGATACTGTGAAGTGTGAACTGACGGCTGACTCGGCCGTTCTTGACCCTCTTTTCTCTCGCGGCCTCCCCTCTCTCTGACTCTCAGTCTCTCTCCCTTTGAGTCTCGCTCATCGAGAGTCTCTTTCCTATTCAATCTCTTACCCCGAGAGGGACAAGTCGTGTCCATCCAATCTCACCCTCTCTTTCTCCTTTCTTTCCCTTCGTTCCCTCCCTTTTCCATTTTGTATGATATATCGTCCTGCGCTCCTCAGCTTTACGTATTCCGTCCGGCTGTCACCCTGGTGCTTGCCTTGACTGCCGTCCCTCGCGTTCGTTGAGCTGGCCAGCAAGGAACACAGGTTCAATCCAGTCAGCCGAAGTCGTTGAACTCGAAGTATATACTAATCGACCTTGTGTGTGTGTGGCAATTCTCCTGGCTCAAACCTTCTCAATCCTAATTGTCCTCAGTGTCCTAAACTTGATCCATATCACACGTCAAAATGGCTGCGAGAGCTCCTCCACCGGCTCCGGTCAACGAGACCGAGCACTCCGTCAGCCGGATCACTCGAGAGGGAAAGAAGATAACGTACAAATTGAACGTTATGCAACAGCCCGAGCGTGCCAGAGCTTGCGGTGCAGGTGCTAAGTGTATGCAACACCTGACCAACTTTTGATCGAATATGAACATGGTACTGATATGATGAGTTTGAGCAGCGTCTGCGGACCGCCGTCCTGTTGACCCTCCCCCAGTTGTCGAAATGCGTATCTTCGAGTCGGATCCCCATGATGATACCCACAAAACCGATATCACTTTCGCCTATAACGCCAATTTCTTCCTCTTCGCAACTCTGGAAACCGCCCGCCCCATGGCCCAAGGCAGACTTGCGCCAACCCCGAGTTGCCCAGTTCTGACTGGTGTCCCGGTAGCTGGTGTGGCTTATTTGGACCGACCATCTCAAGCTGGATACTTCATCTTCCCCGATCTTTCGGTGCGACATGAGGGCGTTTACCGCTTGAGCTTCCACCTGTTTGAGCAAACCAAGGATGCGAAGGACGCCACTGAAGGGACGCAGCCCATGCCTCCACCAGTTCCGGGCAAATTGTCAGCACCACAACAGTTTTTGGACTTCCGATTGGAGGTGGTCCCTGTCCCATTCACGGTCTATAGCGCCAAGAAGTTCCCCGGATTGACCACTAGCACCAACCTGAGCCGTGTCATTGCAGAGCAAGGCTGCCGCGTCCGTATTCGACGGGATGTGCGTATGAGACGCCGTGGAGACAAGAGGACAGATGACTATGATTATGATGAGGAGAGGATGTACAACAGTCGACGCGCCAACCGATTCGTTACACCAGACGCCTACGCCAACGCTCCTGAACGTCCTCGCTCGACAAGTATCAGCACTGTTGACCATGCATATGGCTATCCATCCCAGCGTCGCCCGTCAGGTGCCGAGTATGGACCACCAAACCCTCAGCCTTACCAGCGGCCGATGCCGTCTACTCCTGCACCATCCTCTACGCCCATCCCGCCTCCGATCACGGCTCCTGGCCCAGTTGCTATCCCTTCTGCAACGCCTTCGCCTGCTTCTGCCCATGCACCAGCACCTGCTGCTGCTCACCCGCCACTACACACTCCCTCATACCAATCTCACTTGTCATTTGGTTCGACACAGACTCAGTACCCAGCTCCCCCACTGTCTCATGTTCCTCAGCCAGCAGCTACCCCGACAAACATGTATTCTCCTCGACCGTCGATATCCCACGGAAGAAACCCATCAACAAGCATGGAGTACGAGCACTCTTACCCGTATCCGCATTCGCGTATTCAAGCAGAGCGCCCGCAAAGCTACCCGAAACCACCAACCGCGTCTTTGCCTCCGCTACGTCTTCCAAACACTTTCAACATGCAACCTGGTGAAGGCCACCATTCTCTCGAAGCCCCTGGAGTTCCTCGATCCCAAACTCCTTCCAACATGGTCACCTCTCTACCACCCATTCAAACATTGCCAGAGCTTCCACCGGCTTCATCTCAGCCAGCGAGCAGTATTGGGTCTAGCCCAGGAAATGACTATGGACCCGTCAAGGGCCTTTGGGAAACGAACCAGACGTTATCGAAACGGACCCATGAGGAAACATTCGGACATGACGACCGGCCACTTTACAATGGCATGCGGCCTGATAGTGAAGCCTATCCTGGTGGGATGCAGCGTCGTCCTTCACACGACCGGGTTTCTTCGCTCTTCGGCGGCTCCGACCAGATGGCCTATAAGCGGGCGAATGGACGCATGGTTTCGAAGATTTCTCCTGCCATGCATTAAGCACATCAAATCGGCGTTTATTCATTATACCATTGGCGGGCCTCTGGATGGAACGGCGTATAGGCGAAAAGGTCGTCCATAAGTTTATATTTTGCGATCCGTAACAAGACCACTCGATTTTTCTTTTTCTTTTTTTCTTTACTTTCGATTTCTTTTTCCATGGTTACAGGCACGTTTTTATACCTATTTTCACCTTTCGACCGCTGTATATGATTCTGTTCGTCTTTTTCCTCTTATTATGTTTTGCTTATATTCCCCAGAACGCTGCCATCGATCTGATTAGAATGACTGGCTGTTGCTGGGTGTTCCGACTACTTGGATTTTTCTATGATTCGAATGACCTGTTTTGAGCGGTCTTGTTTTTCTATACTTTTTTATTTTATCTACAATTGAATAGATGTGCGCAAACAATGAGAGTCGCATCAATTGAGACTTGAAGTTTATTTTTGCAATCATGATCTACAAGTAGGACATAGTCGAATTGTATCCTTCATTCTATGATTCTTATTAGGATCTTCTTCTAGGTATGAGCCGTAGAATGCCCGTGCCCTGGAGCAAGTCAACATCCTGCATTCCGGACGCGAGAAGACTATTCAACCTAGCAAGGAATGAATAATTCACGTATCTCGAGAATCGACTATTAATATTTGAGTTTCTTCTTTTTGTTTCTTATATGAACCCTGTCCCTGCTCCTTTGTATCAAGCTCAGTTCTGTTGCTTGGCGCGACCACCGATCAAAACAAAACAACTCATCACTCACAACAAAACCCCTCGCCCACGCTCAGGCACCTGCGTCGAAGAAGGCTTTATTGCGATACCCTCCTCTTTTCTCTCTCGGCTCTAATTCTAAACACGAAGGGAAAAAAAAGAAAAAAAAAAAAGAGAGGAGCAAGAGTGAGAAGATCATCACCAACAGTGCGGAGGTGAGTGTCTACTGTCTCCCCTCCCTTGCGCGCTCCAGAATGCAAGACGTACTGACAAAACAAACGATTCTATGCAGATGTCTTCTGCTTCTGCGGCGCGAGCTGCAGCTCCTGATCAAAGTATCGACATCTGCTCCTCCGACATTGAACCAGACCACCAGCTCCAGCACAATCTCGAGTCAGCAGCAGCCTCGGGCCACCACAACTCCACCCGCAACTACCGCAGCTATTCGTCCCGAAAACACCGCTGGGACGCCTGCCACAGCGATGACGAGTCTGATATGTTCTCCGAGATCTCGGGCCAATTCGACGACGCGGAAGAAGGATCTGACGAAGCAGATGAAGAAGACGAACCGGAGTCTCCTCTCCCAGAACATCCCGGTATCCCAGCAGCAGCAGCCGCTTCTGTTTCCGCTGTAGATGTGAATGCCTCTGCTTCTCCCTCTGCTCACTCCGTCAAACGACGCCGATCGAATGACTGGCCGCACCAGTCCGTGGAAAATGTTTCGGCACCGACAGCCCGCAAGGAACAGGCGAGTTCTCGCCAGCGCTGGCCCTTTGGTCGCTACTATGAGCGTCATGCGAGCTCAACCCACGGCTCACCGAGAGATGCACGCCCCCCTGGGCGCCGGTCGCGGTTCGTCGAGGGCCACATGAACGACACAGTGAGTGAGAAGCCACCCAGTATCCTCTTCCGAGATGTGGAGGGGCAAGCTCGTAGTAATGAGCCCGCCGCTCGCGTTACGAATAGACAGTCTGGGATTTTCCGCTTTGGGAAGGCGATTGCGTCTGCGTTTAATCCGTTTGGTGGGTGGGGGAGTGTTTCTGATATTTGGAAGGGCTCGCAGGTTCAAGATACGCCGCAGGAGGCTCCCAATGATCGGCTTAGACAGGCGGAGTTGGCATATGAGGAGCTTAAGCGGGCTGGATATCAGGGGACTGCGAAAGGGAGCTACATGCAGAGCCTTGGCTCTGGGACGGGGAGTGCGGGTATCCCTGAGGAGACCTGGAAGTCTATTCGGGAGAAGATGGAGTATGGTAGTGCGGATGCCAATGGGAGTACCACTGGTGGCCAGCATTCACGACAAGGCTCTGGACAAGCCCCGAGTAACCGTGACTCTTGGAGTGGAAGTTCGTTACTACCAATGTTCCCGGATCTAAGAAAGGCCAAATCGTCGCTGGCGATTAAGAAGTCAGATGGCCAGGAAGTCCGGCACCAGAGATCTCGCAAGGATATGCAGCGGCAGGCTAAGCTCATGAAACGAGTCAGCAATCTTGAGGACAAGCTTGATCGAGCACGGCGGCAGCTGCGAGAGATTTCCGGTGAGGCAGAGCAGTTGATGCCCACAACTGTGAATGACGAGAAGCCGTATCAGCGCAAATTCGTTCCAGGGGCACTGCCTTCGCTTCCGTCGGAACGACTCCTGCATGGTCCTAAACCTACCACACCCCTGAGCCCACTCCCAAACGGCACTCTTGACGCGCAAGATTCCGAAGATCTGGCCCAGTCTCAAATCTGTGTGAACAAGACACGGCTTTTGTCCCCGAAGCCGTGGCGCAAGTCCTCCACTGAAACCCGCTCAAGCCCTGCAAATAGCCCATCATCCCGCAAACGCAAGTCTCCAGGCCCTGAATCAAGGAAGGAACCAAACACATCCACTCAGCAACAACTGCTACCTCCAGACACCATACATGCCCACAAGCAAAAGGGAGAAAATGAACCCCCAGGTAAATCGGCGACAGTGACAGCGACAGAACCAACCCCAACCCCTGCACCAACACCTGTGGGGGCATCCAACACACCACAGCGCAAGCCCAAACTCCCCAAAACCGCGCGTGGTGATAGCCCTGGCTCAGTTGAACGCAAACAAAACCAAAGACACAGCCCAGGAGTCGAGAATGGTCTTAGCTCCCCAGCGGAAGAGCGCACACCCACAAGTCGACCGCTCCGATCCACGACGCGCAACCGCTCTGCGACACCCGTACTCAGAATGAAACGCGGGCGTGGGGACCTGCGTTCTACTATATCCCCTGGCCATGATGAGGACAAGGAAAACCTCCACTACGCGGAGCAGGAAAATGACGATGGTGGTGCTGGCGACGGCGATACCCCAAGCAAACCCGCAGGCCACGGCCAGCAACAGGCCATAGGAACCCCAACCCGGACCTCTAGCAGGAGAAAAGCGCGGTACGAGTACATCCCACCTGTGCCCCCGCTGCCTAAGGACCTAGCTACGACCGCGGCAAAGGTTGATCGTCGCCTGGCCAAGGAGATGGGAAAGAGACGCTCGCAGAGGGAGAATGGTGGCATCGATGGAGGGTTCCAGTGGCCTGAGGATATCTTTTAATTACTGTTTGCTGTTTGCTTTTTGCGTCTTGCTTTTGATCTCTCTTGTTTATTTGTTTGGAGTAACGATGGATGGTTGGAAGGGTGTTTGGTTTGGTTTTTTCCTAGGATTGGACTATTGAACTGGAATTGACTGAACAGGATTCGATGGGTCGATACGATGAGACATGTGAAACCACGAATATACATGAATGAATTACGAACTGCGATAACTGAATATGATGTTTTTGATGCATTTTCATTGCATCTCTTCTTGCCTCAACCTGATCACTCGTGCCAAACTGATGTCGACAATATAAATTAAAAAATAGCTGTTGCATTCGGGTGCGAACTCACACCACCTAAACACCAACTCATCAGCCCAACCCTAATAAGGAAAATACAACCAAAAAGAAGAGGGAAAGAAAAAGAACAACTTACCAACAACATTCGCCGGCGCACTCGTCACAAAGAAAGTCCACCTCCCCAAACGCCTACAAGTCTCCGCCAACTTCTCCAAATCCCACATCTCCCCAAGCGGCATGCCCCAAAGCGCCAGAATATTCTGATGCATAAACCCAATCGCGCCCCTCCCCCCTTCCGTAGACGTAACAGGCCAGCACTCAAACGTTGGGCTATCCCCGGCCACCGCAGCAAAATAGCAATCATGCAACCAGTCCAACACGTCCTCTTCCTGCTTCAGGCCCGCGAACGCAATGTCTCCATGGCTGCGCAGTGCAGCGGCGGTTTGCTCCTCCGGCGAGAGCGAGTAGTAGCGCTGTATGAACCCCGAGCGCACGAGGAGGATGTCGCCTGGTCGGATGCTCCCGCCGGCGCTTTCGGGGCGGATATCCAGGCCTTGCCATGCGGCGCAGGCGGTTAGGTCGGCGTGTGAGATGGCGTGACTGGTGTATGGGTCGTAGTCTTTGTTATTTGACTCAGCGTAGGACTTGTAGTCTAGAAGGATTGCGCGAGATGCAATGCAGTGGTTTGCCCAGTGGTGGATGCTGCAGCGAGTTGTGGGGTTGGAGCCTTCGATATCTTCGGATGTAGCCTGTTTATTCAGTCAGTTTCCAGTTTTTTTTGCTTTCGGTGGATGGGACAAGAGGAGACGAACCCCGTTGTAGAAGCACTTGGAGGCCAGATGGGCGAACTGTTGGCGGCTTTGTCAATTGTTGTTCTACATGTTAAACTCTTTTGGATGGGGACGTACATGTCGGAATCCATCCCATTGCGTTCCACTTTGGGTATTCATATGATATACATCGTCGTACCCCACGCCACTACCAAGTGGCTTGATTTTATGCTCAAAGACCTCTCGACCGAAAGCTGGGGTTTTGGGCACATCGGCAGGGAGACTGTTCATTCATTAACACATATACCCATAAACTCCAGCCGAAGGCCAGAAGGAGGCACAAAAAAAAGACATACTCCAATCGAACCATCTCACCAGTCTTAATCTCCGCAGCTGCAGCTTTCACCCTGGTAGGGGTGAGGAGGTTCAACCGGCCAATCTAAAGCATATACCCGTCAGGTCTTATCTTATTTAACCCCGGCAAAGGCGAGAAGTTAACGAAGTACCTGATCATCCTTCCCCCATACCCAGGCCGCTTGGTCGGGAGCCCCGGGTACCTTGGGCAGCTCCTTACGCGAGGGAAACCGCGAGGCATCAGGGTTCCAGGGGAGCTCATTGGGACTCTGGGTTGCCCCGCGTCCGGTGAGGGCATCGAAGACTTTGCCGAGGCGTTCAGTTGGACTCATTCTGGATTTTGGGGGTTATCTTGTAGTTGTGGTGGAGGTGGATGGAGGTGTAGTACCAAGAGGAGGCATATAAAGAAGATGGGATTGACGAAGGGAGGAACCATGATGCATTTCAAGCTTTGGGGCTCGATTCTGATAGCCGGGGGATATGGAGTCTCGAGTCTCTCGACCGAGGAAGCGCGGAGACAAAGCGTGGAGAGATGAGGAGAAGCTCTGGGGCGGATGAGGGGGTACCCGCTTGCCGGCCTAGGCAAATGCTAGTGTCTAGTGAGTAATGTAAAAGCATTTGGACTGTTATTATCGAAGCCGACTTGACAGTCGACCTCGTTTTACGTATTTTTTCTTTCATAACTGTCTTCATCCACTAGATATGATACAAAAGCACCGTCGCTGTTCTAGGACTACGTCCTGGATCCAGCCGCGCAGAACACACAAAAGCACAGTATAGTACTATTGTCCAAACGTCTGAGGGGTGCAGCGAAGGCCCATGACCAGTAATCCATGCAAAGAAGACAAACGCCGCATACGGACACCATGCGAAACCAAAGCCAGCCAGCGCAAAGCCCAACCACCCATTGTAAAACTCATGCAAATCCAAACGAAGTCTGCTTGTCAAGCCCAGGTCGAGTTCTTTGAGGAATGCGACCACCTGACGCCGGAAAATATCAGAAACCGTAGACTTCAGGAAGGAGTCATCACTTCCGAGTCAGAAAGAGAGAAAGATTGTAAGGAAATATCATGTCCACCGCTAAATGCGCCATCAAACAGTTTCCAAACTAATGGTATAACAACAAAATGGGACTGACTAGTTCGCAGTTGGGACGCCGGTCGACTGCGACATGTTGCGGCCTCCGCGGCCTCGGGAACCATAGCCACGACCGTAGCCACCCCTGCCGCGACCATAACCACGGCCTCTGCCACGGCCCCGGTGGCTGCTTCGGTATCCATCAACACTGCCCTGGCCGAAGGTCTCAATGTTCCGCTTTTCCTCCTCACCGCGCCATTCCCGGCCACCGGCTCGGGCACCGGTAGTTTCTTCACGGTCACGGGACTCACTCGAGATGTTGTCGAAGAATGATGTCGTCCTGTTGTACACGTTTGCTGTTTGAGTGGTCGGGTCGAGTTCGGACGTGCTAGTCACCTGCGAAGGAGATTCAACCTCCTGAACAGGAGAACCAGAGGCAATGGCCTCCTTGACTAAATCTTGCTTGTTGAACTTTGCATTGGCAGTTGCAAAGTCATAATCAGTCTTGGGGACCTCCATCTTCTTATTTCCCTGCGCTTGTTGGTGCTGGCCTCTGTGGCCGCCACGACCGCGAGAATGCTGACCCCCACGAGGAACACGGTTGCCGTCATAAGGCTTCATCTCACCTAGCTGTCTGGTGACACCTTCCACGGAAGCATCTGCTTGCTGAGGCTTCTTTTGTCCATTCGGTTGGGGTAGCTTGGCCATAGCAGCGGCAACAGCAGCCGTAGCCGCACGTGTTGCTTCAGTGATAGCGGCTTGAGCAGTGCCTTGGGTCACGTTATTCGCACCGGCGGGAGCTAGAGGCGCGTTGGCTGCCGGTCTCGCAGAAGTCATCGGAATGGCAGGTGGTGCGCGTCCTCCCCGGGGCCCAGTCGGAGGAGCTCTCTCGGCAGGAGACGCAGTTGCCTTCACAGCTTCCGCCACGGAAGGCTTGGACTCAACGGGTGGGGTTGGTGCGCTTTCAGCCGGCGCGGTAGGTGGAGGAATCGTCTCCTGGACAGGTGGCTTGCTCTTGGGGTGATCACCAACGGGCAGCTCGGAAGTTGCTTTGGGTCCTGTTGGAATGGCCCGCTGAGCAGGTGGAGTTTGGTGCTGGCCTGCAGGTCCGATTGGCACCTGGGGAGGGAACTGTCCTGGGCCTCCTGGGCCTCCCGGGCCAGGGGGGAAGCCTTGACCGGGTGGAGGGTACCAGCCCGGAGGAGCTCCATATGGCATCGGCGGGTAGCCAGGGCCAGGCGGGAAGGGGGGATATCGGGGCCCATATGGAGAGTAAAAGTTTTGGAACTGCGGCTGTTGAGGATATCCTGGAGGTGGGGGTCGAGGTCCTGAAGGTCCTTGGGGTCCTGGAGGGGGTCCTTGAGGCGGTTGTTGAGGCGGTTGCTGGGGTGGTTGTTGCGGCTGGGGAGGGGCGCCTTGAGGGCCTGGACCGGGAGCTGGACCTGGACGAGGGGCGCTCTATTTGACAAGATTAGCTAAATGTTTGAGCCCCTTGTCATGTAAACGGAGGTAACATCATGTCTTGGCGTATGATCTATTCAGAAGGAAGGCAACGGAAATATCCACACGGTTTTGCGCAATTCAGAACAGGTCTGTGTTTACATCCGAAATAATTCATCATTTGATCATACGATCTGCCAACATAAGGTATGGAGAAAGGGCTGGTGATTTGGCGGGTTCTACTCACCCCTAGGATGGCCGGGTCATCTGGCATCTGAGGAGGTTCGGGCTGTGCGTTCTCCTTCGTATCCTCCGCAACGCTGATATCTTTTACATCACTTCCGCGGAAGACAATGTATTCATAGACACTGTTGGATGGGGGTAATTCTTCGGCAGGGTTGCCTCGTCTGCCTTCAGTTCCGAACGACACGACATTCTGGAGAGCGATCGTCGAAGCTTCGGGGTTGATCTCATGTAAAGTACCGACATAGCTAGAAAGGGTTAGATGGCGAGTAGTCAGAGATACGGCGCGAGAGGATGTAGGACGGCAGATATAGATCGAGGAACATACCGAATATCGCTCTTTGAGATCAAGTTAAAGCGTTGACTGCCAGGTGTTAGCTCCAGCCTAACCGCAGATACCTTGGTTCAGGCCACTGACCCTATTAAATGGTTCATATCCATTTTGGCTCAGAGGATTGCGCGATTGACGCGCGAAGAAGATGGAGGGTGGAGAGAAGGGGGTGGAGTGAGGGGAAATAATAAAGTCGAGAAGAGAAGCTGGAGAGATGGAGAAAGGAGCTGGAGTGAGGAGACGGAGTCACGGAGAGGTGGAGGAAGAGAGAGGAAGAAGCTGGAAGCAGAGTTTGTGGTGCGAAAAGGGCTCTCCGCTCCGGCCGGGCACAGGAGCTCCAACAGCAGTTCGAGTGGTCACCCAGGCGGTGAATCTGTGTTTCTACAAACAAGCACTCTCCTTTCTTATGTTGACATTTACATTCATTTCTTTTGTATAATAAACCTTGTACATACATTGACTGTGTTCTTTCTATACTAATTATGTCCGCTTCCACCCATCGGGACGACTTCTTCCAGACTACGTACAACCCCCCTAGTTCCCCCCGCATTTTTTGAGTCTCTCGCTGACGAGTCTAGTTCTGCTCTTGATCAACAACAACGAAAGGACGCTAAGTCAAAAAACACAGACGGATCCCCGATCAGACTGCAGAGCAAGATCCTTGCAATTCAAGCGGACCCCTTCGATAATGGCTCTGTTTATGTGGCGCAGAGCGGTGGGACAATCAGAAAGATAAACCTCGAGGTATGTCGGTTAGATAGTATACTGTATGTTTGGGTGTCGCATGGGATTCATTGTTGACTTTTAACTCGCACTCACGTATAGACCGGTGAAACGACCTCTATCTTCAAAGGACCTACTGCACCCATCACGAGCCTTTGCTTTAGTCCAAATGGCCAGATCCTGTTCGCAGGGTGTTGGGATAAGAGCGTTTGGAGCTGGGACATAAATTCAAAGAAAAAGAAGCTACAGTATGAAGGTCACACCGACTTCGTGAGAGCCGTTGTGACGACGAGGTTCAAGGGCCAGGATCTCCTCTTGTCGGGCGGTGCCGATGCCCAAATACTGGTATTCGACATTGCGAGCGGACAACGGTTGCATGTGTTCAAAGGTCACACGAAAGGAATTCAAGATCTGACAATTGATCCGTTTACCCTGGATCTAGACAGTACCGAGCAAACTTTTTTTAGTGCCGGTAGTGACAGGGAAATTCGACACTTTGATATCTCTAAAGGCAGCCAGGACCTGACTGGCACGGAGGCACTTTTGGCTCACGAAACAAACATCAACAAACTTTACTTCGATCAGGATGGAGATCTCTGGACAGCTTCAGCGGATAAAACAGCAAAGTGTCTCGTTAGGGAGGACGGCTGGAAACCGAATCTCACACTCAGCCATCCCGACTATGTGCGTGACGTGGTGGTCGATGAGCGTGGAGGATGGGTAATTACAGCTTGTCGAGATGAAGAGGTTCGCGTTTGGAATCGATCGGTGAGTTCCCTCTTCGTTTTCCTCCCACGGGCGCTTGCTGATGCTTTCGTTAGACTGGGAAACTATACCACACGTTTTCCGGTCATTACGAGGAGGTCACTGGCCTGGCTCTAATTGGGCTGAATTTGGTCAGCGTTAGCATCGACGCTACCATCCGGCAGTGGTCTCTGAAACCTGACGATCTACGGAATGCGGTAGCGCAGGCAACCAAACCTTCAACTGACGAGGAGTCCGCGAATCCGGACTCTATGCTAACAGAAGAGGAGGAGCGAGAACTAGCAGAGCTACTGGAAGATGACTAAAGGAGAAAAGAGCCAAACCATGAAAGCAGTGAAGGCTAGCCATAGCCAGGAGTATTCACTAGTAGAGTCACCGGCCCGGTGTTCAACTGTTGTAACTGTACAAGTAACAGGCATGCCACGTGATCGACACCATGCAACCATGACGCAAAGATTCGAGTGCGGGCGGCCGACGATCAACCCGAGGAAGCCTGAGTCCACGCGAGAAGCCACTCGATCTCCTTCTTAGCTCCTTGAGCCTCTATCGTGCCCGGTATCTCGCATAAGCACCGAGAATTTGTAGGCACTCTGATTCCACATCACGTTTTCTGCTCGTTTCTATTTCTTGTCGCATCCACCTCATCGGCTCCCCCGCGCGCCGTTGACCTGGTACCTGAACATCAGTGCGGGCAGTCGACTTTCCTGCGTGCGAACCCCTTCATTCGGGATCCAACGGATTGTAATCAGATGCAAGAGCGAATTACAGCGAAATAAAGGACCGTTAAAGATGCAGGCGCAACAGACCCAGGGCCACGAGAATCCGACCGGCGCGGGGCCCAAGCTTGTGAACCGGTTGGGGGCTAGTAAATCCCCATATGTGAGTGATATCCTGAGTTCCACCTTATTTACCCTAGTACTGACTCATGCTATAAAGGTGAGAGCACATGGGCATAATCCTGTGGCCTGGCAGCTATGGGATGCGGAAAGCATGGAGCTCGCCCGGAGGCATAACCGGCTAATCTTCCTCAGCATCGGCTATTCAGCATGCCATTGTACGTCTCCACCATTTTGTCGCAACCACGACCAAATATAGTTACTAATGTATTGCAGGGTGTCATGTTATGGAGAAAGAATCATTTATGTCGCAAGAGGTAGCTTCGATTCTCAACGACTCGTTTATCCCAATAAAGGTTGACCGAGAAGAACGGCCTGACGTCGACGATATATACATGAATTATGTTCAAGCGACCACAGGGGCCGGGGGATGGCCGTTAAATGTTTTCTTGACCCCGGATCTGGAACCTGTCTTCGGAGGCACTTACTGGCCCGGCCCGAACTCGACATCGTTGCTTGGTCCCGACACTGTCAGCTTTATCGAGATTCTGGAGAAGCTGCGGGATGTTTGGCAAACTCAACGGCAGCGTTGTCTCGACAGCGCGAAAGAAATTACAAAACAGCTGAGAGAATTTGCTGAAGAAGGCACGCACACATACCAGGGAGAACGTCAAGCCGACGAGGATCTAGACGTTGAGCTTTTGGAAGAGGCATATCAACATTTCGCGTCCCGGTATGATACGGCCAATGGAGGGTTTGGGAGAGCTCCCAAGTTCCCGACTCCGTCGAATCTGAGTTTCCTGCTTCGTCTTGGAATTTACCCTAGCGCGGTGTCTGATATCGTTGGACAAGAAGAATGCGAGAATGCTACAGCAATGGCTGTTAATACGCTCATCAGTATGGCCCGTGGGGGTATTCGGGATCACATCGGCCATGGGTTTGCGCGGTATAGTGTGACAGGGGATTGGGGGCTGCCTCACTTCGAAAAGATGTTGTATGACCAGGCACAACTCCTAGATGTCTACGTCGATGCCTTCAAGATCACCCACAATCCTGAGTTGCTGGGTGCAGTGTACGACCTGATTACCTACCTTACGTCTGCTCCGATCCAGTCTACAACGGGGGCTTTCCACTCATCCGAGGATGCTGACAGCCTACCGACTCCCAATGATATAGAGAAGCGAGAGGGTGCTTTCTACGTCTGGACCCTCAAGGAGCTAACTCAGGTCTTGGGCCCGCGAGACGCTGGCGTCTGTGCTCGCCACTGGGGCGTGCTCCCTGATGGAAATATCGCACCGGAAAATGACCCTCACGACGAATTTATGAACCAAAATGTCCTTTCGATCAAGGCTACACCAAGTAAGCTGGCCAAGGAATTTGGCCTAGGTGAGGACGAAGTAGTTCGAATCATCAAATCAAGCAGGCAAAAGTTACGGGAATATCGGGATAAAAACCGGGTACGGCCCGATCTCGACGACAAAATCATTGTAGCATGGAACGGACTAGCGATTGGTGCCCTAGCAAAGTGCAGCGTGCTGTTTGAAGAGGTCGGCGATTCAAAGGCGGTTCAATGCCGAGAGGCTGCAGCCAAAGCAATTAATTTCATCAAGGAGACTCTCTTTGAAAAGTCCACGGGACAACTCTGGCGGATCTATCGCGACGGCAGCAAAGGAACGACCCGGGGATTTGCCGAAGACTATGCCTTTTTGACGGGTGGTCTATTGGATATGTATGAGGCAACGTTTGATGATAGCTACCTAAAATTCGCCGAACAGCTACAACGTACTCCCCCCTACCCAAAATGGTACCATGAGCTGCTATAGTTACTGATGGTTTCTTTTTACAGAATACCTCAACGACAACTTCCTTGCCCTTGCCGGCTCGACCCCTGCAGGCTACTACACTACCCCATCGACACCAGTCCCAGGTTCACCGGGGACTCTACTCCGGCTGAAGACCGGTACCGAGTCTGCCCTTCCGTCAGTCAACGGGGTAATCGCACGCAATCTCCTCCGCCTCTCAAGCCTCCTCGAAGAGGACAAATACCGTGTTCTTGCCCGCCAGACCTGTCATTCCTTCGCGGTAGAAATCCTCCAACACCCATTCCTCTTCGTCGGCCTCCTCGATGCGATTGTGGGACTAGAAACGGGGACGCGGAATGTGACAGGGGTATTCAGCACGGCAAACGCTACGGCGTCTACATCGAGTTCGGACCCTTCAACCGAGGAAGGTCAAGGAGGAGGGGAGGGAGGCCCACCAGCATCCTCGGGGCGGGACGCACTGGTGAAGAAAATTCGTGCAGAAGCGGGTCTATCCCTTTCAACGTCGGCGACTACCGTGGCAGCTCTAGTGGATATCAGACCCTCGCATTTGGGTGACTTTGTAGGGAACCAGTCTTTCTGGCTGCGCACGCGGAACCAGCTATTTAAGGATCTCAAGACGGGGGATCCCGCCAAGAATTATCTGCTAGTTTGCGAGGAGGGGCGCTGTCAAACGGTTGATCTATAATGACTTTTTAACGTTTGGTCATTTGATTGTTCTGGTTGGGGTGGTTTTGATATTTATTGGAGTTGGTAATGGTATTCATATAGGTACCTCCATACAAACCGGCTGTTGCTTATTTGTGAAATGCAAGTTGAAGACTCGCTGCAGATTGTATTTCTCTAGGACAGCGTGGATCGTGGGCTATAGCATTAAAACAGTAGTATTGACCAGCAGTGTGTTTAATGAAAGTATGTATGCGTTCGCTTAAATTCTTGTTCAACTTGTCAGGCTGGCCATGGAAAGTTCGTAACCCTGCAGCCAAGCCACCTCTATCATCCCTTCCGGCTACGAACTTTGCCTCTTATTTCTTATCCATATGGCATAAAGACAGTCTTCCGCATCACTATATAGGGAGATGATTCGTGCTTTCTCACCCCATTGCTACTACCTCAGTTACCTAGTACATTCCTATTCCCGCTTTAAATAGACAACACTTGCTATTTCCCATCGGGACCACCAATAGCAGACGGTGGTGGTCACTCGCCTGTTCGATAAGGACATTCCTTGTCTCTCGGGCCAAGTCTTCAGCATTCCGATAAGCGGCTCGACCCAGGCAGAAGAATTCCGCAGGTCCACATAACGGACACTTCCCAAGTTCTGTTATCACATTGTCAGCTATGGCGATCTGGGTGTTGCTTGTTCAAAATGGCGTTGTAGGATGCGCCGCGGATGACCCAAGCGTTCCATCACGGTAGGTCACCGTAATAGTATAGGGATTTCCATCATAAGGCTTGGATCTGCTGTCAGTAGTGAACCGTCGGTCAGAGGGGTGAGGTTCTCGAATGGATGGCCACCGTTAGTTAAACAAATGAAGCTTTTCATGGCCTTCAAGTAAGTGGATGGTTTCTCTGGCAAATCTTTCTATATCATCGGCCTCATTGTCGGCATCGAGAGAGCGTCCCCATTCCGATCATCCCAAGACTGGCGACAATAGCCCTGGAGATGAGCTTCAAACTGTTTGTCATAAACAGTCGTGCCCTAGGCCGTTGATGTAGGTTCTATGTTTTCAGCAGAAGCTGACATGGTGGGAGTTGAGCGTCGGGATGGTAGAGGACTAGAAGTAGTAAACATGTTCGCTCGTCAGTGTATGGGGTTTCAAACAGACGTTTGAAGAGGCGAAGGGCAGGTGTAATAGGCCCACCACGCCTCTGATATCAGACATGTAGGTCCAGGCCTCCACAGCGGGAAAGATCTTTGATCTCTTGCAAACACGTAGCAGAGCAGTTTTGCAAGTATTCCAGACCAGGAACCGGAGATACAGAGTACTTCTGTGGAGGCCAATGTCTCAGCGCTAATAGACCATTTGCTTACAAGGACGCTCAGCTGCACCCGCGGAGATTATCTCGGATGTGACAAGAGAAACCAAGAGAAATTTGGGAAGCGGGGAAATTGGGCACAGTCTACGTGGCCCAGTGCACTGCTCCGCCAGATCCATTGGTACGTCGTCTACCGAGCAACGCAAAGTCTGGATTCTGGAATGACTCGTGGGTTGCTTCCAAAATTTTAAACACACATCCAGCCCGAATTGTCGGGTTCCTTGGGCGGTGTTTATCCGGTTATGTTGCGGATGTATCTGCCTCCATCGGCAGCGACCCCGGCGTCTCGACATGAGAATAATATGGGGTCATTACGAATGCGAGGTCGCGTGGCTCTGATTGTGATGTGTTTGATGGCGTTGCTGAAACAGCATGTCTGATTCTGAGATGAGATGTAGATAATCAAGGACAACGCTGAGGGGCGAAGACGGACAAGCCACTAGGCGATCCAGTGAAATAAATGAGAGACCGAAGACTTCCGGTGCAGACTGTAGACAGACCGGCTATTTGACAGCAGAGGAACAGTCAAAGGGCGCCAAGGACGTCAGTTTGTTCGGTCCAAGGCTCCCGAGCGAACATGAAGTCAAAGAGAGCAGGCAGTCCAGACTCGACAATCATTGCCGAGTCCGGAGGAGTTGGTGGACGACCTTTCACCCCTGAGCACAGAAGATGGAGCCAATGTGTGGGCGCAGCGGCCAGAGGATGAAACACCAGGGCGGCTGCCGAGTGCCAAGTTTTGGTGGTTAATCATTTGCGAGTTCCCCTGAAATTAACCAGGTTTTAGCGCCGCTGTGGGCCTGAGCCGTTCTGCAGTCTCATTTCATTTCATTTTCAACAGTTCGAGTCCATCTTCTTCGGTCGGAGAATATTCTGGTCGTACGGACCGGGCAATTAAACAAAAAGAACCACATACTGAAGTGATAATATTAACAGACCTGTCCCTCAAGAGAGCTTGTCGCTGAACCGCGGTCCGCTGTGCGTTGTTGTCCCGCGGTGGCGACGTGATTGGCCCCAATTGCCCGTACCTGAAACATGAGGCGTCCCTGCATCTTGGCCACCGTTTGAAACCCAGTCGTGAGATCTGGATGGCTAACTCTGGTATTGGATGACTTATGGTTGACGCGCTGGGGTTCGCAGTGCTGTGACAATTGGGTTCTCTGAAGGCTGGGACATTGTTCTCCCAGACTCTGGGAATGCCCGGTCTAGGGATCTTCGGCATGCTAAATCGCTCAGTGCGCGGGTCAAAAAAAAGGAGTCGCAGGCATTCCATTTCCATGGTTCCAACAGTCAAGAACCACGTTGTAAAACAAAGCAATAATAGCCCCCTCGCAGCCCGAGTGCAGAGTTGATGAGTATAATACTAGTGCTCCCTCATCAAACAGTGGGCGTGGACTCCGTATAATGAATTAATTTGCGTTTGATTATCTCCAGCCAGATCTTGAGCCCCACTGGCCGTCGTCTCCTTTTGCGATCATCCCAAGCTTCGACGGACCATCGCCTTAGGTCCTTATTAGTTATTACGACGACCTCCCAGTTCCCTCGTCTTCTCTCGCCTCTTCTCTTCTCCCTCGCTCCTCTCCCCAGCTCCCCGTCCTTTTGCTCCCATTCCGTCTCGGTACGCTTTTTCCACTCCTTAAAAAGTGTCCCTCGAGGCTGTCATTCATTTATCCAACGCTCCACGACTGGACTTCGTACCCCCTGAACGCTCCATCCCTTGCAGTTGATCTGCACTTCCCAACGACGTCGTTATACTTGATTCATCCATCTCCATCTGGGTGAATTGCAAGGTCGCTTTTTCGCCTCCAATCAATCAGTTAAGTTAGTCGCTCGGGTCACTTCCTGGTGAAGTTGTTCGATCGACGCAGACAATTGACCTGTGGGAAAAGCCTATCAACAACTCGTGAATAATCCTGAAGTGCAACCAACAGCTTCTCGTCATGAAGTCTTCGATGTTCTTGGGTGCCCTGTGCGCCCTCGGTGCCGTGGCCCAAGAGGTCAAGAACCCTTCCGAGGTTAAGCCTTCCTACGTTACTACATGGACGACAACCACTGTGACCGACTGGACTACCCAAACTATCACCAAGACCATCACTGTTCGGCCCACTGGCACCGCCACCGCTCCCCCAGCCAATATTAAGGTCCCCGAAACCTCGACCAGCTCTGCCAAGCCTACCACTACTGCCGAGCCCACAACTACCCAGGCGCCTGTTCAAACCCAGGAGCCGGAGCAGCCTGAACAGACGAGCTGGTCCACATCCTGGGAGTCGACTTGGACTCCTACCCAGTCTGCCACCAGCACTGAAGAGGCCCCCACCCAGTCCCAAGCTCCTGCTCCTGCCAACGGTTACCAGAGCAAGGTCCTCGACAGCCACAACATCCACCGCGCCAACCACTCTTCTGACGCCCTTACCTGGTCAAAGGACCTTGAGACAAGTGCTCAGGCCCTCGCCTCGCGCTGTGTTTACCAGCACGACACGTATGGACAGCCCCAATGATTCTTTCTCAGTTTCGCGTTTCCCTTTTAGCTAATGCCTTTATAGAAGCATCGGTCCAGACGCCGGCAACTATGGCCAGAACATCGGCTATGGTACCACGGCAGAGGAAGTTGGTGTTATGATCTCCAACTTGATGTACAACGATGAGATGGGCTACTATGAGAACCTCTATGGAGAGGCCACCCCCGACATGTCCCTGTTCGAAAAGTGGGGTCACTTCTCTCAGATCGTGTGGAAGGGAACCAAGCAGGTCGGCTGCGCTACCGTTGTCTGCGACTCGCTTGGCAATGTCGATTCCTCTGAGGCCTCGCCCTTCACTGTGTGCAACTACAGCCCCGCAGGTATGTGACGAAACTACAATATTTGATGTATCTGCTTTGTTCTGACATACTTTCCAGGAAACGTGCCAAACGAATACGGTACCAACATCCTCAGGCCTCTTGGCAAAGCCCTCTACTCTGCTGAATAAGCGTGAGGTCTTTCGAACTTGACTGACAGGGGATCATCTGGCACTCATACCACAACAGTAGTTTTTTGGGGGGGAGTTGGTGCTGTTTTGTGCCTATTTGACTTTTTCTTACCTGTTGTAACTGGGCGCTCGTCGTATACCTGTCGGTCGTGGGCACTGAACTCGATACATGACAAAATCTGAAATTCAAGATTTTTTCTTGTGGACAGTCATTTCAAATTTCCTTCATTTGCCGGCTATGTGGCTTTCAAGCTGCATATTGAGCTTTAGTGTTATGTCCGCGATCATGCAAGGTTTTGTGGTTCTCTGCGCTGCACGCCTGGTACATGTCGTTTTATCTTCTCTTCTTTGTGAATATTTTATCACTCTTCGAGCTTGTCGATCGACAGGAATCCGAAACACTTCGTCTTCTCCACCTTTGCTGCTTTCCTTATCTTTGTGTGTTCATGGATAGCGTGTTTTGGTTTGCCAAGAGACATGATGAACGTTCGAAATACTTGAGCTGCCGTAGTTTGAGCTTCTATAGGCTGTACTACCGTAGTACCCCTTCGGTGTAGATAACGTCTGAGACGCAAGCGGCGACTGCATACATGATGTCATTGATTTTCTCCACATGAAACACGTGACCTGAAGCGATCTCCCCGCATCCAGCAAGAATTCCAGCGACTCAAGAGGCTCCCTTCGCCCGAAGAAAGCTTCGTTCCATCGGCCGGTCCGGAAACCAGTCCTTCTGGCGGTATACTGGCTTAGCTTTACCGCTTTGGCCCTTGATTGACCCGACGTTTTGACGGAATCATCGAGGAATGAAAGCCTTCGGGACCGATAGACTTCTTTTAAGCTCATTCTTCAGGTGCCGGCTCGGTTGATCAGAACGCATCTGTGCATTTTGCTGACTCTCTGAACCGATTATCAGGATTGGCTGCTGTGTACGGGACAAGCCGTTGGTACATTCCCTTCCTCCGCGCATCATATAAGTTTCCGCATGACATATCGCTCGTCACCCATCGTCATCTGGTCCGCTTGCCTCTTATTCCTGCGGGTTGAAGCAAATAGAATCCTTCATTAGCATCTCATCTCAAAACTACATCCTCTGCTCTGTGCTGTCCCTCGATTAGGCGGACGCAACTGTATCTCTTGGCACTCGGATCTGCCTCTACATTCGACTTACTACCAAGTACAGTAGTAGCTGCGTGGGCACCGCATCCGTTCCGCCGACGGGCCCCCAGCTCTACCCGGCCGCAATAGACAAGATCCACCGCATCGAAGGATCCCGGCTGTCTATAGGCGTTATCACTTATCAGTTCTCTCTGGTAAGCGTCCCTTCCTCCGTTCGAGGATGCGATTTTGCCCGTTGTTCCGAGGCCATCCCCACCTCTCCCCCCAGCCTTGACTCCCCAGATGCGGAGCCGTACTACCCAATGTGCCCTGGGAACTCCTATATATTCGTCCCATTATCGTTTGTTCATAAACACCCTCCTCTCCCCTCCGGCCATAGAACTTTTCACATAAACACCTCTTCCACTACACTTTCCGTTACTGGTCGGCATTCCCACTCCCTCGTGATTTGATGCGGTCATGAGCTATTAATCTCCATGCCCTCCTACTGCCTACAAGATTGTCACTACTTCTACCGAAGCGCCTTACGCTTGCTTTCCATCCCAACCTTCCTCGCTTGTCGTTACGATTAATCAATCCCATAACATCCGTGGATTTCATCAGCTAACGCGATGACCTACTCGTCAACCGCAGTTCGCTACTTTACAGCGCCAAAGCCGCTGGGAGTATCGATGGAGTCTCCTCGATCCCATCCGGCTTGTGAGCCGAAAATCAAGCCGACAACTGTGGATGGAGGATTAACAGACCAAGTAACCAACAAGAGTGGTGGAATCACATTCCAACATCAGGATTCTCTTCCAAAGTTACCTATCCCTGACCTTGAGGGAACCTGCCGAAAATATTTGGATGCCTTGTCGCCCTTGCAAACAGCAAAGGAGCATGAGGAATCAAAGGCTGCAGTGCGAGATTTTCTCAAATCTGATGGCCCCAGCCTCCAAGAGAAGTTGCAAAAATATGCCTCTTCGCAAACGAGTTATATTGAGCAGTTTTGTACGTTGGCTTCACAAAATTAAGTGACCCCTAAGCTAATTGGCTCTATTAGGGTATGATTCTTACCTGAACTATGACAGCCGTAAGTGACTTGGAACCCCGCGCACTCGTGCCAGACTAATTAATTGAACCTGCAGCTGTTGTCCTCAACCTCAATCCATTCTTCTTGTTAGAAGATGACCCGACCCCCGCGAGAAATGACCAGGTGCCCAGAGCAGCATCCTTGGTAGTTTCAGCCCTATCGTTCGTACGAGCTGTCCGGCGCGAGGAATTATCCCCAGATACCGTTCGAGGAACGCCACTATGCATGTACCAATACTCCCGACTCTTTGGCACTTCGCGTGTGCCCACAGAAAATGGATGCGTTATCAGTCAGGATCCTAGCGCGAAACACATTGTCGTCATGTGCCGTGGTCAGTTCTACTGGTTCGATGTACTCGATGCAAACCACGACCAGATAATGACGGAAAGGGACATCGCGATGAACCTTGAGGTGATTCTCACGGACGCAGAACAAACCCCAATCCAGGAGGCGGCAAAGGGGGCCATGGGGGTTCTCAGTACGGAAAACCGTAAGGTGTGGTCGGGACTGAGAGACGTCCTTACTAAGGATGCGCACTCCAACAATGCTGAGGGTCTCAACATTGTCGACACCGCTCTATTTATCCTCTGTCTGGATGATACTGAACCGAGTAACACATCTGAGCTCTGCGCCAACATGCTCTGTGGTACCAGTGAGGTGGAAAAGGGCGTGCAAGTAGGTACCTGCACGAACAGGTGGTACGACAAACTCCAGATTATCGTATGCAAGAACGGCAGTGCTGGAATCAACTTTGAACACACTGGTGTGGATGGCCATACTGTTCTCCGGTTCGCAAGTGATGTCTACACAGACACTATACTTCGTTTCGCACGCACGATCAATGGTAAAGCTCCTAGCCTATGGGCCACAACTAGCCCCGACCCATCCAAGCGGGATCCTCGAAGTTTTGGTGATGTTAGCCCGACACCGCGGAAACTTGAGTGGGATATGGCGCCTGAGTTGAGCATTGCCATACGTTTTGCTGAATCGCACCTCGCGGATCTCCTTCAGCAACACGAGTTCCAGGTTCTTGACTTTAATGGATATGGGAAGAACTTTATTACGTCGATGGGATTTTCTCCCGATGCGTTTGTTCAGATGGCGTTCCAGGCGGCTTATTACGGACTTTACGGACAGGTGGTGAACACCTACGAACCAGCAATGACCAAGTCTTTCCTACATGGGCGAACCGAAGCTATCCGAACCGTCACCAACGAATCGCTCGATTTTTTGAAGACATTTTGGGCTGACAATCCTGCTGAAGACAAGGTGAATGCTCTACGGAAGGCTGCGGAAAAGCACACTGCCACCACGAAGGAGTGCTCTAAAGGGCAAGGGCAGGACCGCCATCTCTACGCTCTTTATACCCTATGGCAGAGATCTTTCGATGAAGCCCCAGTTTCTGCGAGCAACAGTGTCGACGAAGGATCGAATGGCTACACAAGCCCCCTGGAGAACGGATCGCCTAGGTCTCCATCTATCTCAGAGACAGATGGGCTGTCATCCACAAGCGGCTACAGCCGGGCCATGCGCACTGTACCCCCAACCCCCGCCATCTTCAACGACCCCGGCTGGGACAAAATAAACAACACGGTCCTCTCATCATCCAACTGCGGCAACCCCTCCCTACGCCACTTCGGCTTCGGCCCGACGTCTGCAGACGGGTTTGGCATCGGGTACATCATCAAAGACGAATCAATCTCGATCTGCGCCTCGTCCAAACACCGCCAGACCGCGCGCCTGATGCAGACACTCGAGTCGTACCTATTCGAGATCCGGAAGTTGCTGCGCACGACGAACCACAAGCCAGCAAGCCCCCGAACTAGCCGCGCCCGCGAGATGGAGATGATTGCAGAGCGGGTCCAACGCGATCAACGCCGGGGTCGCATCGTCCGTACCGACACGGGCCATCTGCGGGCCGGGACTGAGACGCCTACGACCGATAGTGGGGAGATGGAAGATGATGGTATGGGCGGATGTAAGTTACACCACTCCTGGACCTGCGTTAATGTCGGCGGCTAACGTGAAAACCTGTCCAGATGGATTCTTCGATGCAGGGATGCTCCTCCACGCGCTGAAGGGATTGAATGCTGATCGTGAGCGGGGCAGCGACAAGCCTGAGCGTCGACGGTTTGTCGGCAAAAAGCTACGGTTGAATGAATATTAACCTGGATGGGATTATCAATATCTACGTTGCATTGTTTGGATGAAGTTGGATCTTGTGCCATGTTTTAGCCATGTTTTTTTGGATAGCTGAATGATTTAAATTTTTCAACATCATCTTGCCATTTTTATTATTTTTAACTTATTAAACCTTGGCGCCGTAGATTTCTACCTCCCTATAACTCGCAAAACCAAGGAACAAGCGCCGTGGGAAACGTGTGATACCTCACACCTTCTCCCCAAACCAGCCTAATGCAAACCGAGCAACCCGACATGCATGCACGCGGTCCATTGAGGAAACGGGGCGTCAACACAGGACGCAGAAAAATGGATCTTGGAATATGGACCGATGATCAAGAGCAGAGCGCCGCAGAGGTGTCCGTGCCATGCAGGAAGAAGCCAACGACACTGCTGCCATTCTGCCACGCATATGCACCAGATGGACTAGTTAAACTTTGAAAGAAGATTACTCACACAATTACAGTTCGAGTCACCATTGCACTCAACAACAACAGACAGGCAAGGCAAGGCAGAAGCTAATTTGATCGGATCCTGGGATAAGTCGGGAAGGCTGCCGTCGTTGGGAATCTGGAAATATCCTTAACCGACCAAGTTACACCGTACAACCCCTTCCCGTCTCTGTTTCTCC